AAAAATTAATTTACATACTCTTCCGATTCTTAATATAAGAACTAATGAGGAAGTTAATGTTGGTTCTATATATATGGACAACGTGGTTGATAAAATTCTTCCATGTGCTCCATATACGTGCGTACGTAAATTTGTCCCCCTACATTTACAATTAAAAACAAGAAATTCAAATCCTTTTTGATCCCTGGCCTTGTGTATGTTTTTTTGGTCATTCCTCCTGGACACAGAGAGAGAGAGAGAGGGGTTGATGTTGATGCTAGAGTATGGAGAGAGGATAGAGGTGAGAGATGAAGCAAAGTGTCAGCATTGTAGAGTTAGGAAAAAAGGCCGAACCCGTTGGGCCAGTGCGTGTAAGTTAAGAGTTGGGTTTATATTTTGGAACCTTGAAAGAAAAGTTAGGTTTAAAAAGACCAGCCCTGTAGGGCAAAAAATAAACGGGCCAGTCCTGTAGTGCAGTAGGCTGCCCATTTAAGCCCACCAATAATTTTTTTAAAATTTCTGTTTTTCCTTAACTTAAACACTTTTAGTTTCACTCATCCCAGTAGCTCACACAGAGAGCATTCACCAAAAAAAAAAAAAGAATTAATATAGTTCTTGGAAAAAATAACCAAAAAAAAGGTGAAAATTATAAAATTTAAAACTAGGTATATTTAAAAAAAAGTATTATTATTATTTATAAGTTGTCAAAACCTATTAAAATATTATATGTGTAATTTTTATGGTCTTTATTTGTTATTCTTTCATATTTTTTTAAGCTTGAAATAGAATTAATTAAAGAATCTTTTGAATTAAAATAAAGATCCATATCATTTTTTGAGTTAGAAACGAATTTAGAACTATGAATGCTAGACTCTTTTCTTTTTTGCTAGTAGGACAAATGATTATTCTTTTTTTTTTTGTTGGGGCTGGGGCCGGGGCCTGCACCAACGCACAGGACCCACCCTCGGCGTAAATGATTATTCTTTATGTATACTTTATTTGTTACTTAAACTTTTTTTATTAATTATTTATAATTAAACCAAATCATCCACAATGTAATTATTTACTGAACTGAATACTTATTTAATTGTTTATGTCTGTCTTCTATTTAGTTTGTTTATTTAATAAGCTTTATTACAGTGTGATAGATGTTTAGACATGTTGACGGATCGGTCTGTTTAAACTCGAGCCTGTGACAGATAGGCTCGTTTTCCCAGTATTAAAGCATTGCACTTTCTGGCAATGAACCGCACACAGCCATCCATGAGCACGATCAGATACAAGTATAAGCAAAGGACGAGCAGCTTTTGAAAAAGTCAAATTCCAATCAACTTTTGACCCTTAACTCATACGAGCCAAAAGCTTGGCCAAACATGACAATCAGAGTCCAAACGTGCCTAATACCCTAAAAGCCACTGCTTTTGAATCGAATTGTGGATCCACATACACACAAAGCCATATGTAAAAGCAGTTTTTTAGGGCCTGTTTGGTTTGAAGGGAGCGTAAGGGAGAGAGGGGAGAGAAGGTTTTATCCTCACCTTGTTTGGTTTGATTAAAAAGAAAGGGAGGGGAGGATATTTAATGATCCCTTGTTTGGTTCAAGGAGGGGAGGGGAGGGGAGGGATAGTAATAATCAATTTATCATTTTACCCTTACACATTAGTTTATGTTTTTTATTAATATATTTTATAAATTAATTTATATCTTAATTTAAATCATATAATTTAATAAAAATTTAGTCTTATCATGTTAATATGTGTATTAAAAAATTGGTACAGTAATTTTTCATTCTAATTAATATAATAATATATTTAAAATAATCAAATTAACAAATTTTATATGCTCTAAGAAAAATGAAATTTTATTCTCTTTAGGCTATCTTTTTTTCCAGCTTTAAAATATATTTAATAAATAATATATTTATAAAAAAGAATTAATTTTATAATATTATAATTTTTTATTTTTAAATAATTTTTTATAATATATTTTTAATTATAATAATGTATATATTTTTTATTTTTTTACTTAGGATAATATATTTTTTTTTGAAATAAATATTATAATAATATATTTTATGGGTAGAAGTGGTATATTGAAAAAACTATAAGGACATAATGGTCTAAAAATTTGGTTTCCCTTCAAAAACCCTCAATTTAGAGGGGAGCCAAAATGAGGGGAGGAGGGAGGGGAGGGGCTCATTTTCCCTCACCTCCCCTCCAACCAAACACCCCCTTAGAATCCAAAAGCATTTTTGCCCTTATTTTTATGTTAGCTATGCTCTTGTCTATATACGAGTATTTCTTATGTTTTCCCACTAGTTTTTAATTATTTATTTCTAATATTTTTCTTAACATAATTTTTATAATATTATTTTAATTTTACATTTATATAAATTGTATAGAGTACATCATTCAATTAATTATGTAATATTATTTGGTTTAAAATTTTCACATTACTATGATATCTAATTTAAATATATTTTATTTATTAAATATTACTTCTTCCTATCATAATAATTTAAAAGTATTATATTATGTAAATTTATAATTTTTTTATTTTTTATTTTTTTAAAAAAGTTATGTCCTTTTTGATCATTTTACAATTAAGCTTGCTTATTCAATAATAACCCAAACAGCTTCTACTTGTACAAACTTATTTATTTATAAAAATCAGTCCAAATATAAATCATATTATCTAACATAACTTTTATCTAATCTTAAATTTCTAAAAATTTAATTAAAAATAAATTATTTTTCCGACTGCTAATTCAAAACGCAGTCAATATTTGAAAATCTACGTCCAATTAAAAGCACCGCATTGATTTTTTTTTTTTTTTAAATCTCCATCTGTGTGATCGGTAAGTGTGAACCATCAACCATGGCTAAGCGATTGATATATGCTACTCTACTGTTTAATATAAATCTAACTGAAAAGTTAATATATGTAAGACTTATTTTATATATTTATCATTTTTTTAAAATTAATCTTATCGATATCCTCTTAACAAAAATCACGTAAGGGAGAGAGAGAGAGAGGAAAAAAATTAAAGAAGATGCTTAAGATACTTTAGAAAAAACATATTATATTAATTATTGACTAATTTAACTAATATTCTTAATATATTCAAATTAATTAGTTAGATCTTATATTAAGAATCCGAGTAACATGATAGACATGGATACTGGTTACTGAAGATGCCATATCTATAAATTAAATGGTTCCCAAAAAAAAATGGTCTTTAAATTATTAGTACTTAATTAAAGCCGTGTGAGGAAATTAAAGACTTCTAATATGTTCCTTTTCTTTGTTCAATTCAAAGCTTGTAAGCGCGTGGAAGATAAAAATATGGGCAGAATGTGAGGCTTAAATAATTCATATTGTCAGGACTCTCTCTCTCTCCCCCCTCTCTCTCTCTCTTTGGTTTTATTTCAACAACTCTCCTTCAAGCCAATCAAATATTTTATTATCTAACACCAATTAAAAAAATCCTAAAATATTTCATGGAGTTCTCAGTCTTGGTATGAAATCATCCTTAGGCACCCAAATCAACAAAATTATCTTTATAAAAATTTCCCAGTTAAACTTTGGACCCCGGGAAAGAGAAAAAAGTCTTACAAGTTCTCATGCCTTATTTACGAATCATACTTAAAATTTACTTCTTATTTTGGATGAGTTTTCCGGGGGACTTAACATGGCTAAAGGTTCAGGATACCAACCCCAAATCTGCGATTACACCAGCTAGTTGGTCGAAAACGTAACATTTGACACTATAAAACAATCAAGTCAACGAAACGGAAACCAACTTGCTATATATTTTAAATTATTCAACTTGCTTTAACCAAAACTCCCCGCGTATTGATAAGGAAGTTTCCCAGAAACCTTCAATTCTTCACATATATAAATTGGATTGCTGTAGTTCACACAGACATCATCACTATTGATCTGAGTTTGCCAGAAGAGGTTTGATCCATCCAAGGACGATGGTCTCGTTTCTCATTCCTTATGTAAGATGTATATGTTTGACTAAGATGTGTTGATTTTTTCCTATGTTATCAATCACTAGAAGGACTGGAGCATGGAGTTCTTCGAGGCACAGGAGACTGAATTACTTGTGGGTGTGGCCTCTCTTCCGTAGCCATTGGGGTCGCCGCTTTCTATCTCGGCTTCTATTCTTCCAGCAAGAGCACAGAAGGTTTGATCCCTCCAGTTATGATCAGAAAGTTTCCCAAAAACCACTTTCTTCGCTTAAAAACTGCACTGCTGTCTACTCAGACATCACTTTTGCTCTTAGTTTGCCAGAAATAAGGTTAGATCTATCCAGGCATGATGATCTTCTTCCTCGTCTGTAAAATTTATATATTCGAACTAATCATGCATATGTACATACGTATCAGGAAGAGCCATAATGTTCCTTATGATTGTGTTCTTGGTTCTTGCTCTGTTTCACCATCGTCCATTTCCACCTGTTCGAATTTTATGATGAAGTAGGATCTACATCATATTAAATTTTAAATAAAAGTTTCTGTGGGATAGTCAATCTTCATCATATATTCTGAATTTCTCTCTCATCCAATTAATCTTGATAAAATAGTCTCAATGACAACGGGGACGCTCACATCTGGATTTTAGATCTTGTTCCCTGAAATCTGATCCACTTGTTTTAGGTTTAGCTACTAAGTCCTTCAACCCATTTCAGATTATAATTAGTATTGGTACTTCTGAGATGCTCAATTATTGTTTGTGAGAGGAGAACTTTGAACTTTTCTCCGCCTAGTTACTTACCTTTATTTCATTTATTTCCTGTTTATTGGTCTGAATTATAATTGTTAATGAGCTATCCTGTTCTTCTCGCGTTGGCATCGCCGTGCTAGATAGAAATTGAATTCACTTGGGAGTAGACATATAATATTTGAGCAGTTATATGTTTATTAGAATGTTATAAACGGGAGCTTGAGGGGAGAGATTAGCATCAAATTTATTAGGAATAATTAACACCCTATGGTTTTTGTCTATATCCAGTAATGGCAACTTTTACGACTTCTCCCAGCGTTCGGCAGGAAAAATACGATGTTTTTGTAAGTTTTAGAGGTCCAGACACCAGACGTAGATTTGTTAGCCATTTGAGAAAGCAGTTTCGACAAAAGGGGATAGAGGTTTATGTTGATGAGACGGCAGAGAGAGGAGATACAATATCACCTGCACTTTCGGAAGCAATAGAAAGATCAAGAATTGCGCTGGTGATATTCTCAGAAAACTATGCTTCTTCAAGGTGGTGCTTAGAAGAGCTAGTGAAAATCATGGAATGCAGGCGAGACCATAGCCAGACTGTAATTCCAGTTTTCTATGATATAGATCCATCACATGTTAGGCATCAAAAAGGATCTTATGAAGATGCATTTGTTCAGCATCGTAACTGCAAAGTTGATTCAAGGAAGTTGCAAGATTGGAGATCAGTCTTGAAAGAAACTGCAGACATATTTGGTTATCATAATTCCTCAAATTTTCAGTAAGATGTTTCCTCTTTCTATTTATTATTAGATAAATCTTGCCACAGTTTATGAATTATATATTTTTCCCGTAGACATTTAAAAATAATTATATCTAATGCTTATATTATTGATAATTAAATCTATGCATTTATGATTTTTAACAATGTACTGTGTGATTTTTGTTTTTTTGAAAAACAACTTCTTTCTTTTAACCCTTCAGGGATGAATCTGATCTTATTGATGAAATAATCAAAGAGGTATGCAAAAAGCTAGAAGGTAAAGGTAAAGACACAGTGGAGCCAATGGAACATATTGGAGTTGAGAAAAATTTGACTCCTATTGAATTATTTATGAAAGATGAATCACATGAAGTTAGAGTTTTTGGAATTTGGGGTAAAGGAGGAATAGGCAAAACCACCTTAGCTCATGCCGCATTTGATAACTTTTACCACCGATTTGATAGGTCTTGCTTTGTCGAAAATGTGAGAGAGAAATCAAAAACGATTGGAACGAATTGTTTGCTTGAAAAAATTCTCTCTGTTCTACTAGACGAAGAAAAGCTCACAATGGTTGGAATGCCTAATGTTCAAAGGAGGCTACGTAGAACAAGAGTTCTTCTAGTTCTTGATGATGTAGACACCTCCAGTCAATTACAATATCTTATTGACCAAAATATTTCCTTGGGACCAAGCAGCAAAGTCATCATAACAAGTAGAGACAGGCATGTTCTTATTAGTGGAGGAGTTCATGAAGTACATGAGGTGAAAGAATTAAGCAAGGAAGAATCGCTTCAACTTTTCTGCCAACATGCTTTCAAGCAAGGCCATCCGAAACAAGGATATGAAAAGTTATCAATGCAGGTAATTGAATATGCAAAAGGTCTTCCTCTGGCATTAAAAGTTTTGGGCTCATATTTGAACTCTAGAAATACAAAAGCATGGGAGAGTGCCCTTAAAAAATTGAGAAAGTATCCCCATGCAGAAATTCAAACTGTATTGAGGGTGAGCTATGATGGACTTGAGAAAACAGAAAAGAGGATATTTCTACATATTGCATTCTTCTTCAGGGGAGGAAAGAAAGAAGATATTATTAGGGTACTAGATTCTTGTAACGATGACCTCTATGTGGATATTGGAATAGATAGGCTTCTAGATAAAGCACTCATAACTAGTTCAAGTGACAGCAGAATAGAAATTCATGATATGCTACAAGAAATGGCTGAAGAAATAGTTCGTGAGGAATCTAGAGAGCACCCTGAAAGTCGAAGTCGATTAAATGATGCAAAAGAAGTTCAAGATATATTGGAAAATAATAAGGTAAATAAAGGATGCTTTAACTTCATTTTTTATTTATTAAATTATTTCATTAAAAGAATTTTTACACGCCACTTGTTTAATATATTATTTGAATTTTGTTATGTTCTAGGGAACTGATATAATTGAAGGCATCGCATTGAACCCATGTGAGTTAAAAAGCAACATGCGCCTGAGTGCTGACGGCTTTAGTAGGATGAGTAATTTAAAATTTCTCAAGATTGGTTTTTATTTTCTAGACGAACATCAAGTGCTTTGTCCTTTTGGTCTAGAGTCACTTCCTGATAAACTAAGATATTTTTGTTGGAAACGTTGTCCATTGGAGACTCTACCGCTTGGTTTATGTGCAAAGAATCTTGTTGAAATCCAAATGCCTTGTAGCAAAGTCGTAAAACTATGGGACGGTGTGCAGGTATGGCTATATATTAATGCATGTTTCATTGTTTAGTCTAATTGAATTATGAGGGCTTTTTTGGTAACTTTTCTCTTTTAATTGTCACAGGATCTTACGAATTTGAAGAAAATAAATCTTGCCCGCTCGAAGTTAAAGGAGTTGCCTGATTTCTCCACGGCACAAAATCTTGAAATAGTGAACCTCAGCTATTGTGGAAGTTTATGCAGTATTCATCCATCAATCTTCTCTCTTCCTAAACTTGTTTCTTTGAATCTACAGGGGTGCAAGATATTAAAGAGTCTTCACAGGGATAACCATGTGAAATCTCTCAAGGAAGTCACACTGACGTTCTGCTATGCTCCCGAGGAATTTTTGTTGTCATCAGAAGAAATGAGAAGGCATCTCACGAGCGTTGAAGTAAATGCGCTAAGTTGCTTGACATCTCTTAAAGTATTCTCTCTTAATGGTTTTGAAGGAGAAATAGACAAATCAAAATTAGTCATTCTGTTTGATGCCTGGCGTTCGTTAGAAGAACTAAGGTTGATGGGCTGTGGGGTTTCTGAGATCCCTGACAATATCAGTGCCATGTCATTGTTGAAGATTCTATCACTACGAGGAAGCAGTGTTAAGAGTTTGCCAGATAGCATCAAGCATCTTTCAGAGCTCAGAAAAATTGATTTGGGTAATTGCAAGAGGCTTAGATCCTTACCAGAACTTCCACCTTCCCTTACTCATTGTTGTCTCAACGAATGCCAATCACTAGAGACCTTCGGTTTCCCACTAACGCGAGCAATACATAACTCTAGTGAGGTTAGAGTTTGTTATCCCGGAAGCACAATCCCAGGGGGCTTCAAATATTCTCAGACCGCTAAGAGGTCCATTAGTATTGAGCTTGCACCAACTTCTTCTGACCATTTATTGGGTTTCGCTTCTTGTTGTATTCTTTCCTCATCGACGATACCAAGAGTTCACAGAAAAGTCCACCTTGAAGATGAAAAGATCTATTACAGTAGTGACAGCAACATAATCCTTGAGGATTGGAGTACAGATCATGTTTTGTTATGGTATGATCCAGTGGATCGCATGTTGAAGGAAAACCAAAGAAGGCGATTTGATGAGGGCGCCACTTACAAGTTTGCATGTGAATTCTTCTACGAAGATTTCTCCGGTCGTCTTGCGGATGAATTTAATGACGGGATAAAAAGTTGTGCAATTTGGCTAATATACGCATCAGAATTACAGGAGAAAATGGAATTAAGGCTAGAGACAGATGCTGTTACAGGCAGTACCAGCCAGCACCCTAATGCTGAAGTGTCCCAACATCAGCCAGCACATTATTTCGTTAGGAGAAGCACTCGTGTGCGCCAGAAGACAGGGAACTTGACCATGATGCCGTACTCTTTGAGAACGAAGAGAGGCCGAAATGAGCGCACGGCCCCAAAGGACAACAAACGAATCGCTCGATAATGCAATTCCAGGTCCAATAATTTTTTTTAATTCTTTATGGCCTCTATCTATGTATGAAAAGAATTCTTTATTCTCATTGTGATTGGCCTTTGGGTCTCATGCCCAGCATCCATTAAAATAATAAATAAACATTAGAAAAATCTCCAAACTAAGCTACTACATGTATATGCAACCATCTCCAATTTCTATCCACAGGCATGTGCAACCAAAAATTGTAGAGATAATGGATTCATTGATTTTTAATTCCTTTAGTATGCCTGGCTCGACTGTTAGTAAATATTATGTATGCATGTAGATATTAACAATGTATAACAGTAAGTATTTTGGTCTTCTTCATAGCTGGTCAATTTCCAAGGTCCATGTGATTTTTTGCTCTGCTCTTCACTAATGTTAACGATATCATATAAGTCTGAATTGCATTCGTGCACATCTTGGAATTAGAGACAACCCTTGTGCAGAATAAAACTTAGAATGAAAAGAAATATAGATGCCATATATAATATGTACTATTCCGGTCCTAAATATAAGACCTTTTTTGTAGTGTAAATTACATTACAAAAAGGTCTTATATTTAGGACAAATATAAGACTCTTTTTGTAGTATAAATAACATTACAAAAAGAGTCTTATATTTAGGATTAGAAGAGTATTTCACCTGTTTAACTTTGCATATCACATAATATTGGTTCGGTGGACCAATCCAATTATGAACAGAGCATGTGAAGCCTGTTTTTCATCACCGACAGGTCCAGGAGGATCGAGGCGTGCGACATGAATGTAACAATCATCAGCTTCATTTTACCAGTTGGCCAACAAGTGAAGAGCTCTGAACCATTTGAGTTGTTAATTAAGGTGTTGTTTCTTGTCTTTTTCCTGGTAATTTGGTTCTGCTTCGTCTGCAGTATCACAGGTGGAAACTATTACAGTGTGGGAATGACAAGAATGATATGCGATTGTGAGCCATTTGGATAATATGCCAAACTTGGTGGTTCTGTTTATCTTTGGCTTTTATGCTTTGGTTTGTTGACTTCAGAAAGTGAACTGATTTTTTCTACTCAAAATTTTTTTGTCAAATCAGATATTATATTTGTTCAGAAGTAATCTTCATTTTATCTTTCTCACCACTAACAGGTGATAAAATCATCAAATCTGTTTGTTGTATCTCAGAGCGGCGTAATGAATTCCTTGTTGTATGATGATCGAATAAAGTCTCTGTTTTTCCTTTCAACAGAATCAACCACTGTCACTGATTGTTTCTGGTAACACGGGTTTTGTCCCATTTCATATCCAAAAACTAGAGATAAAAAAAAATGATGTATTTATATATAAAGATCAAGGAAAGCCTATGAAGCTAGTACTGTATCGCCATTGCACTTCCAAAAAATTGCTTTCATGAGTTCATTGATCGTCAATTTCACCTATTTCTTTGTTTATTGGCTTTGTTTAAGTGAACATTATTTTTAAATAAATTTTATGGATATTTATTAGTTGTCAATTTCTCAAGTCCTTTTGATTTTTGACTCTCGAGTCTTTGAGAAGGCCAAAATGAAAACATGACAGTATGCAATAAAAAAAACCGTATTATTCTTCTTGTTTTCTTACCCCTTGTCACTACAAGCGAAACTAAAGTGAGTACTTTGCTGCAATTTATAGCAAAATATTTCTCCGGTCCTAAATATAAAACCGTTTTAATAATGTAATTTATATTATAAAAATGGTCTTATATTTAGGACCGGAGGAGTAATTAAGAAATTAAATTAATTCTACTATAATTTTTGAAGGATTCATGGACACATTATGGGGAATGAATCCTTGAAAAGGGAATATCAAATTTTGACAAAGCAACATTGGAAATTGAAATTTCCATCAAGTTAATCATAAACCAAGTTTATTTTTCATTTGTCATTGTGAATGTGAAACGTAATTAATAAACGATTAAGTATTAAAACTTTTTGTGTGGGTAGCAAGTGTGTGAAACAGGGAAAGTGATTTCATTTAAAATTGCCGGGTATAATTATATCATAGGAAGCCGATTATTGGCCAAAACAATAATATCCTACTAAATCATTGCGGGAAATAGAAAGTAAAGGAGTGTTTGGATGGCATAAGAAGTGCTTCTAAAAGGCACTTTTTTGTATTTATTTTGTATATCGTAAAATCACTTCTTAAATTATAGTTTGGTTTCTATTCAAATACCTTGTAAAAACATAATGATATGAAAAACTGCTATCAGCTGGACCTCTGATGGCCTAATATCAACAGAACCAACTACTTAGGATTCGACCCGAGTCCAGCCAAGGCGGAGCAGAGCACGCGGGGTGAGAAAGAGCATAGGAAATTAATATTATCAACTTTTGAAAATTAAAGGCACTTCCCTAATTCATGTAAAGTAGGTCCTGTTTCTGGTCAACAAATATTATTCTTGATGTTATGATTTTTTACCTTAAGCCGCCTATATTTAATAATTCTCAGATGGAAACCGGAATGTTGGATTAATGAGGATGATGTGGCATGCTACATAAAATCAAAAATAGCATCCGTATGGGTTAATAATTTTATATAATTATATATATTTTTCATAGAAGGGTTAGAATGCCATTTGTGGTTAAAAGTAACAAACTCTCATCTCTTTTATCTCCTTACTGCGGGCTAACTCAACTTTCAATTCTTAAAAAGAACCTCTCGTTGGGCAGATTAACATTTTGATTTTCAAAGTGTTTGTGTTTTCTTTAGTTGCCTGTACTGGGTTCTGCATTGGATCAATGTTCATGTCCTCATGGAATCATCTATTTGCAATTGTCTAGTCTTTGTGCTTTTTTCGATCCCGATTTCAGTCAATCACCCATCGATTTTACCACAGCAACATTTATAGCTGTGTTACTTCTGTTTTTGGTTTTATGATTTTAATTTCTATTTTTCTGGTTTAGAGAACAAGCGATCCAGATGGGACTCTAATTTTGTGGAAAAAGGCTGTATTTTCTTTGCCAGGATGGTGGCGTTGTGGTTGATGGCGGCCTGCGGCACGGAGCTGCAAAGAAATTAGGGATTTTTTTTTTTAATGACAAAATGACAATTTAAACCTTCTTTAAAAATATATATGTATATAATTATCATAAAATTACTAACTCATGCAAATGGCAAGAAGTTGGATGTTACGTAGGATGTCACATCCTTATTAATTTGACCCGGAACTCAGGAGAGTTTTTATATTTTAGCCCAATTTTTAATATCTAAAATTTGAATTCATTTTAGTTTTTATCCTTGAGATTTAAAATAAGTAGTTTTGGTCCTAAATTTCACCTAATTTTTGTTTGGGTATCTAAAATTTGAAACCAGAGGATTTGTTTCCTGAAATTTGATGTCATTTTGGTTCACTTAAATACTTTTAATCCTTGAAACAGTTTTTTTTTAAGGATAAAAATTAAAGTGAGATCAAATTCTGAAGATTAGAACAATTGGCGGCTTCAAATTTTAGAGAGAACTAAAATAATAATCAGCTCAAGAAAAACTAAAATAATGTTAAATTTCAAGAACCAAAATCATTGGTTTTAAATTTCAGAGATCAAAACCAAAATAAAATTAAATTTCGGTGACTAAGAATGATATTAAGTGTTGATATACATAACGGAAGAATAAATTCTTCTTGCAGGAATGACATTAATATGACTTAAGGATGGCGAAAATATTCGGGTAGCTTAAATAACTCAATGTAATATTAGTCTCAGCAAAATAATGCAATTTCATGTGTAAATTTGACCACGATCAAGTTAATAAAGGATGGAATAATTCAACGGATCGCATATTAAAGGAAACCCAAGGAACGCGATTTGGCGAGGGCGCTACTTGAAAGTTGGTGTGTGAATTCTTCATCAGAGATCGCTTTGATTCTCGTGTGGTTGGGTATCAGAATTACATGAGAAAATTCAACAAATGGGATTAAAGCTGGAGAAGGGTGATTTCCTGCACTATACCATTATTTTATCCAAATGCATTTTTTTTGGTTGGGGGTTTGGTCCTCAATATAATATAAGAGTTTGTTTGACTTTCATTTTGGTCTTAAATATAAGGTTTCAATCAATTTTATCTCCCATATTCATCTTTTTTTTTTTTTCCAAAATAGTCCTTATAATAATACTGAACATACATTGGGTGAGGGTGCCGCGTACAAGTTTGCATGTGACTTCTCCGTTTTAAATCGCTTTATTTCTGGTATATATGGATTGGATCACTTGATAAAAGTGTGTGGACTTTGACCAATATATGCATCAGAATTGTAAGAGAAAATGGAACTAAGGCTGGAGAAGGATGCTGTCACAAGCAATACCAGCCAGCACCCTAATGCTGAAGTATCACAACATCAATGAGCACGTGATTCAGTTAGGAGAAGCACTCGTGTGCCAGAGGCACAGAGAACTTGAGCGCGATGCCCACTCTTTGAGAACCAAGAGAGGCCAAAATGATAACAAAAGAAACGCTTGAGAATTTTTTTTGCGGGTAATTTCCTGCGCTATACCATCATTTCATCCGCATGTCTTATTTTGATTACGGTGAAACCTCTCCTATAGTGTAAGTACAAATCCTATAGATATGCTTTAACCTCCTTTTTTTTTTATTTTTTATCCAAATCTGATATTTCCCTTGTTGTAGAATCTCAATTTAATCAGCCTTCGTAGCCAAAATTAGGAGAATCTCCAACTCTTTCTAGCATATATGCAACTATCTCTATTTACCATCCATGGGGCATGTGCAATCAAAAATTGAAGAGATAATGGACTAATTGATTTTTATTTCCATTAATATGCCGTAGTCCCCTGCTCTGCAAATTCTGTTTTCGGACAAAGAAGTTGAGTGCTATGGTTCGTCTGGTAGTAAATATTGTCTATACATGTATTGTATCCATTGAGCTCCGTGATGTCGTTAAAGTTTGTGATGTTTTGAATTGAATGTGATGCAACTAGCATCTATCATCTTCCACAAGCCTTCATTACTATCCTTTAAAGG